AGATGTTAGAAATACTAAAAACCTTAGAAATCCTAAAAACCCTAAAACCTATTATTTATAGGATTTATAGGGTATTAAGGTTTACAAGGTTTACAAGGTTTTAGGGTTTATAGGTTTTATAGAATTTTTATGGTTTTTAAGGTTTGGGTTTGGGTTTAGGGTTTAAGGTTATAGTTTAAGGATTCTAAGGTTTCTAGGGTTTTAAAGGATTTTAGGGGTTTTAGGGCTTGTAGGGTTTACAAGGTTTCTATGTTTCTAAGGGTTTTAGGGTTGTAAGGGTTTTAAGTGTTTCTAAGGTTTCTAAGGTTTTTAGGGTTTCTAGTATTTTAGTGTTTTAAGGGTTTCAATTTTCTAGGGTTTAGGGTTTCTAGGATTTATAGGATTTGTAAGGTTTGTATGGTTTCTAGGGTTTGTAGGGTTTTTAAAGTTTTTAAGGTTTGTATGATTTGTAGGGTTTTTGGGTTTTTTGGGTTTCTAGGGTGTAGGTTTTCTATGGTTTATAAGGTTTTAGGGTTTGTAGTGTTTCTAGGATTTGTAGGGTTTCTAGGATTTAGGATTTTAATTATTAAAATATTAAAAGTTTTATATAATATATTATTTTAATAATTTAAAATATAATAAATAATTATAAATGTATATTAATATATTTAGGTCGATATGGGTTATGGTCGAGCTTTTAATCTAAAAATCGAGATCAAGTCAGGGTGAAAGAAATATTAAAATTTATCGAGACAGGGCTGAGTTAGATTTAAATAATACAATTTCGAGTCTGGGTCGAGACATCCAAAACCCGCCTGCCCGTGCCTATCTGTAGAAATACTTAGGTTTTTTTAATTTGATTTTTTATGACATTTTATGAGTTTAATTATAGCACATGACTTTACACTTTCAAAAAATTGTGAGTTTGACCCGACATTTCATCTTGTGTATATTATAGTCATCAATCATAGTAAATTGGCTTCAATTTGTGAGCAGGAATTGAGTTGATTAAGAAAGAATGTATTTTGAAAATAACACAAAATGACAATTTCAGTAATAAGCTGCAAGAGTTATGTTGTCCAAATTTTTTGATTGGGCCTGAGATAATTAGGAAGGAATTCACTTAAAATAAATATTAAAATGAGAATATATGGACGGGTTAAGATCAAAATCAAGCCAGATTTTATTTCAGGTTTTAGCAATTAGGTTAGACGCTATAATTCTAATATTTTTATTCAAATTATTTTAGATTTTCTAATATATAATCAATTCTTATAATCAAATGGAACGATTGAAGATGATAAATTGAAGTAATGAATGAAGTAATCATCACCTGAACCATTGCTGGTTGGAGCAACGGCAGGTCCCTCAATCTCTGCTGGAGAAGGCGCTGGAGAGATTCCAGTGTAGCTGTGCCGTGGAGACAACACGACCACAACCAACTTCTGGCCCTGCTCACAGTGACCCTTAGCTCCACTAATGAAGTAAAATGGGCCTAGCACCGAGTCTTGGCCACTATCATATTTCCACACTGTAATATAAAGACTTAGAAAAGCAAAAAGGAAGAGTGTCACAAAGTGGAGTTGTTTAGTACGTATATTACCGAGAGAGTCGCCGATGCGGAAACGGAACTGCCGGCCCATTTGTTGAGGGAGTCGGATTCAGAGGATGGGATCTTCCAAGCGTTTCTTGCCACCAACCAATATTTCTATGGCTTCTTCAGCCGTGCACCTTCTAGCAGAACCTTTTTCCAGATTTTGTAAATTCATTAGCAGTAGTTACTAGCTCTTCTTCCAAGCCTCTGACAAAAAACTCCCCTTTTCCATCTTCCATAAGAGCAATGGGTTTCTTAGATTTATCATCAATGGGTTTCCACAAAAACTCCCCCTTTTAAATAAGCATGAAAAGCTTGAGAAATAAGAAAGGGCGCCTCAAGCTTAACGCCGTCGATGTATTATATCCGACCGTTACAATGTCAGGTAATAATAAAGGAATTTGAAAAAATTCAAAAAGAAAAACGGCGGGGTTTTGTGACTGTTTGCTGGGATGAAGTCTCATTCCAACGGCTATTTCGCACGCTCTTAAGTCCTCCGCGGGTCTTATTATATGGGTCATCGTGAAGATGCTGGTTTCTGTATTAATGGAAGCTCCGACTGTACAGTGAGTGGCTTTATCTTTATTTTATATATATTAATAACATAATTCATGTTCTACATTGGTGGTGTTTGCTTTATATGACTGAAGCAACGACATGGGGATTCCTCCAAACTTCTGTTTTGCTTCTATTTGCTCTTCTGGCCATTTTGCCTATCCAACATCTTTTTTCTAAAGGAGGAAAAAAGGATCATACTTTGTCTGGTTTACTCTTCAAAAGATAGAAGTTAATATAGTGTTTGTAAGACTTTGGTTATGTTTCTCTAATTCCATTGTTCATCTCACTCTTTAATTGTTCTGTTCTTCCCTATCTTGCATCATGTTCAGTTTGAGGGGCTCGAGTTCTTTCTGTGCAGTCATATGATATTTTGATTTTTCTCCTAAGACTTCATTGGTTGGTTTTTCAGCTAAACAAAATGTCACTACATCACTAGAGAATTCGAATTCTTGAACCTTCCATGGAACTTAGTTACTCTTTGTTAATTCCATCATCTTCATACCCATGATCACTTGTAAAGTGTGGTTATGACATGATATATCTAGGACAGAGGTGTTTATGTTATCTGAAATTGTATTTGAAAAATTACTACTGTCACATGTCTAGGAATAATGCATTTGTGTTTCTTCTTTGTCTTCTATGAATATTGCTTCATTTTTTGGTGCAAAAATTTATAATTGCTCATTTCTGTTCAGTTCAATAGTGTTAGGATTTTGGTTTGTATCTTGTCCTGGTTAATATTTAGGATCCAAGCCTTCGTGGTTCTGAACTTAGGGCAACTTTGAAAGGAAATACAATGTCTCTATTATTTGACATTTAAACCCTTTTACTTGTCTGTTCTTTTCAGTAAAATGTTTTTCTTACAATTTTTTTACTTCTTCATAAGTTTGTTTAACATTTCTCCCGACTCTTGCTACGCATAACCATCCGTGCCATTAGTTCTGATAGAGGAAAAGTTGTATCTGGTTCTGATGATCGGTCTGTTATTGTATGGGACAAGCAAACACCCCAGTTGCTGATAGAGTGGCCATCGTGAATACGTTCTTCCGTTCTTTGAATCGATGGGATTCAAATGTCCTGACAGAAAAGGAATTGCAGACTACCTACAAGAAGTAAGCACATGATCCAACCGAGTCTATATTCATTCTATTGAAAACTAGAAACCAACTGGCATTTCCTTTTACCTCTTCACATTATAGGTTACATCAAGAAAGGATCAACGACAATACTGGTTTCATCAAGAATCACCATATCGTTTCATTTCGGTCAATCAGTTTGCTGAAGCATTCAAGTCATTTCACATAGGATTAGACATCCAGAATCAGCTTGCCATTCCATTTGACAGGTCAAAGAATCATCCTGCAGCTTTGACAAAAACCACACATATGGAGCTAACAAAAGCGAATTGATGAAAGCCTGCTTATCAAGAGAATTCATTTTGTTGAAAGGAAATATGTTCTTGCATGCTTTCAAGATATTTCAGGTAAGTAGCATTATCCCTTTTTCATAAACGCTTCTAACATGATGCCTAGTACTTAAAATTTCATAACTTATGCCTCTTTTGTTTCAGCTTCAAATTAGTGCAGTAATTCTTGCTACCGTCTTTGTGCAAGCTAGAAAGCATCACAGAACACTTGAAGATGGACGCGCTCTTTTCTTTGCTCTTAACACGATTACCTTCACTGGATTTTTCTAGCTTCCCTTGACGATCGATAAGCTTCCGATATTTTACAAGCAAAGAAACCGCCTGTTTATCCTTCATGGGCATTCTCGTTGCCGACAGCATTTCTTGGTATTTCTATATCAGTATTTGAAGGTGCTATATGGGTTGCCATAACTTACTATGTGATAGGATTTGATCCTAACATTACAAGGCCAGTATTCTTTTTTCCTACTTCTTGCATTCACTTTGCTAACCCCTCTTTCTTTTTCTCGACTCAGGTCTCGTAATGAGTGGACAAATGTCTCACTTATAATTTTTTCTCTTTGTACGCTCCTCTCACTGTCTGCAAGTCTCACTTAATCTTTGATCTGATCCAGAAGATTTGAGTAAGTGTTTAATTTTAATTTTTTCTTCTGATTTGGTAACTTCGAGTTGAAAATGGAAAATAATCGGAGGAAGTGAACTTCCCTTCTAGGAAATTACTTTGATATCCACTTATAAGCTGGATTAAGTTCATCGGTGAGCGAATGCTTCATTTTTTTAGATAATTAGAAAGAACTTTTGATGCTACAACGTGTACGATTCGCTCAAATGATTTTTTTAAAAAAATTGCGTTTCGATTTACTTAATTTTATTACTAATTTAGTAATAGTAGTGAAAATTAGCAAGATTTGGCTTTCTCGCCACTTCGATTTTGCATTGTTTTATATTTTACTTACCTGTCCTGCTGATTTGTATAAACTCTGAAGGATTTTTGATACTTCAAAGCGAAACTAATTTTTCAGCTTCATTAACTTCTAATCTTTTAGCAATTTGACTTTCTATATGTTTCCGCTTGTTTTCTGATTTATTCATAATTAAGTCATCTTAGATTCTAGATTTGCTAATTATTGGTTTATATTTTGCTGATTGTTTCCATTTCCAGTTCGTAATTTCACAGATCATATTTAAGCAGAAAGACAGCAATACTTTTGTTGTTTTTTCAAATCTGAAAGACACAAAGGACAATAGAAAAGATGGCAACTAGAACTCCAGGAACCCCAGGCAACAAGATAGACAAGACACCAGTACAACACCTGGAGGCCCAAAACCAAAGGAAGAGAAGATCGTCGTTACTGTAAGATTAAGGCCTTTAAGTAAAAGGGAGCAATTGGCCAAAGATCAAGTAGCATGGGAATGCGTTGATGATCACACAATGGTTTTAGGTTTCATGGAAATTTGATGTTTGGGTTTCTTTTTAATGTTTTTTGCTCAGATAAAGTGTTTGGACCATTATGCGTAAATGAAACGGTTTATGAAGGAGTGAAGAATGTTGCTTTGTCTGCTTTGGGAGGCATAAATGGTATTTCAATTCTGATGACTGTTTATTAATTGTTTGTTTTCCCCTTTATTGAACACTTGAAATTATGTAATTTCTGGTACAGCTACTATATTTGCATATGGCCAAACCAGCAATGGGAAGACATACACGATGAGAGGAATAACAGAGAAGGCTGTCAATGACATCTACCAGCATATAATGAATGTGAGATTCAGCTTCCCTTGAAGTCTTAACTATTTTCTTGTTGCCCATAATTTGATTTGGAGTTTGGATTTTATATGAGTAGTTGGGTAATTTCCTCAATTGTTTTGTTCTCTATTTGAAATTGCTGCAGACACCAGAGAGAGATTTTACCATTAAAATTTCGGGACTAGAAATTTATAATGAGAATGTTAGAGACCTGTTGAATTCTGAATCTTGCCGTAGTCTCAAGCTTCTAGATGATCCGGAGGTAATGGCTGTTATTTAAGCACCTATGCTTTCAATCCTCCTCCAGTCCTTTAGAAGATTTTGTCTGTTTAATCTGCTCGCAGAAAGGTACTGTGGTTGAGAAGTTGGTGGAAGAAACAGCCAGCAATGATCCTTCTTGGGGTGAGCATTTTTCTTCTTTTTCCCTCCTAAACTTTTCCAGCAGTTTTTTTTGTTTGTTCTGTTTTTGTAACCCTCCCTTTTTGCTTGTGGAAGCAGGAGAAGCTATAGCTTTGGGGTTTCAGCATTTATTTTGGCCTTAGGAACTGTTGTGATGATCCCTTCTTTTCCTGTCCCTTTGATGGGAGGAACTGATGTAAGTCACTTTGTACGTGTAATGAATTACAATACTATTCTTTGTTCTTTTATTATTTGTTACTGAAATTTTTTCATTTCGGCATTGTGATGGTTTAGGATGATAAAGTAAGAGTGATTCAGACACTGCTATTTGTTGAAGGGATTAATACACTTTTACAAAGACTGTTCGGAACTCAACTACCTACCGTTGTAGGCGGTTCTTATGCCTTCATGGTTCCCATCATATCAATAATTCATGATACTTCTTTGCTGAGTATTGAGGATAACCATATGGTTAGTACAATTCTATGATCATTTCCCCCAAATCTTTTACTTTGTTCGTAAAGTTCAATATTTTACGTGTATGCAGAGATTTCTATATACTATGAGAGCTGTCCAAGGTGCACTAATAGTAGCATCAAGCATACAAATTATCTTGGGATACAGTCAAATGTGGGCTATTTCCACCAGGTGCAACTTTGATCTTACATGGAGTTTCTGTATCAAAATTATGGAGAGACATAATTTGAGAAACTATTAACTGAGTGGTATTTTGTTTTCGTTTTCCTTTTTACAGGTTCTTTACCCCCCTTGGAATGGTTCCGGTTATTGCACTAGTTGGCTTTGGCTTGTTTGACAGAGGCTTCCCTGTGCTTTGGCTTGTTTGACAGAGGCTTCCCTGTGGTATAATATAGAAGCCCTGAGGCTTTTTTGAACCCTAATGAGAAATTTTCTTCCTATCATATCATTGTGTAGTTTTAACTTGTTATCGACTCACTATCAGGTTGGTCGCTGCATCGAAATCGGCCTCCCGATGCTCATTCAATTTATAGCCTTCTCCCAGGTACTACTATTCCTTCTAGCAATGTAATGGACTAATATTGTTTGCATTAAATGTTGCTACATCAAATGTTGCGTACTGTATCTAATATTAAGATGAGAAGTCTCACATTTGCGAAGTATCAATATTAATATGTATCAAAATAAAATATGAGAAATTATATTAGATATGATTTTGAAACAAAATAAAATATGTGTATCAAAATAGAAAAAATAATAGTTATTAAACATCAAAATTTTCAATTAGATCGGAACCTACTTTATTTATAAATACATTTTAAATGTTGTAATAAAGATTCGAATGATTTTACAAAAAGAGTTTCGGAACCTACTTTATTTATAAATACATTTTAAAGTGTAATAAATATTTTTTTTACTGGTTATGTTATCGGAAATGTTAAAAAAAATTAATATTTTAGGTAGAAATAATAAAATTTTAGATATTTTTTACCAGTTTTGTAAAAAAAATAATAACAAAATTGTTAGCTATTTTCTTAGTCGTATGATAAGGTGGTTGCACTGTAGATAATCCCAAAACCTAAAAGTTGTAGGGTCAGATTAAAAAGTTTGGGAGGGAATTCCTGAGTACGACAAAAATAATCATAATAGAAAATCATTAAATATTAATAACTTTTTTTACCCTAAAATTAAGCATTGACCTTAAATTAGACTCATTTTAATGTTTTTTATTCTAGGAGTCGTCGGCTTCATTGTACATGTGTGGGGACCATAAATGGTAATAGATGCGCAGCCTGTTTGGTCGGAACATTAAAATGATCCTTACTGCACTACTTGCCCAATATATTACAATTTCAAACTAGAACAGCAGAAAAATGTTTACAAATAAATGTTTCGTTCTGCAGGTTAGTATTTTTGCGCTCATGTATGATACTATTTTAGATACCATCTGAGAGAGATTAAGACAAAAGATATATATTAAAGGAAACAATGTTTTGTCTCGTGCTGGTCTGATTGAAAAGATGGTTTTTATTGTGCGTGGGAAAATGGAAAGTATAGGAGAAAACGGAATCGAAGTTCCCTTATCTGAAGGGGATGTATGCGGTGAGGAGCTTCTCACTTGGTGTCTTGAGCTTTCTTCAGTAAACCGAGGGACACTTGTTCTTTTTAGCTTTCCCACCCTTGGATTCTTTGATTTTTATTTGCTTAATCATTGCCTTGGAAGCTACCTCGTCATTGCCAAAAACGACTGTAAAACAATTCTTTGGAGAAGTTACATTGTTTATGTGGTGAGGTAGCTGTTTTATATTGAATGCTTGGAGGTTAAGTTGAAAAGTTGAGTTTAATCTTTCCCACAGAGTGGTCGATTTTCTAGGTAATTTTCCTAGAGGTCACTGTTCAAAAGAAATTGTCACTTAGGTTTGCAGCTTTTCATTTCTACCTATTAAGTTAGCAAACTGTTATGATGACAGGAAAGTTAGGGTTGGATCGTGTGGATTTGGGGGAAACGGTGAAGGGAAGAATTGGGAAGTCACAGCAGAAAATTGGGGGAAGATCGAATGAAGTTAGGGATTGAGAGGGAAGCTAGGGATTGAGATCCTATCTGTGGAATTGGGGATTGGGAATCGAGAAAGAGATAAGAAGGAAGAGTAAAAGACGAGGGTGGGCAGGGGAGAGCATAATGGGTTTTTAATACTTAACCCAATATGAGTTCAGGTGGGCTTCTATGTTGGGCTGGTTTGAATAGAATCATTTTAGGAGAGTTGTTTGGAGGTGAGTCAGCTTCAAACGGTTATTTTGTTAGATTTGCTGTTATGACAGCTGGTACTGAGTATAAATAATTTGTACCTATCCTTTAAGGAATATCTTATGAATGAATTGCAAGTTTTCTGTATCTAATTCTCTCTACATTTCTTAAATCCCTAAAAATTCTTTCTTATTCGATCCGGAAACATAACACAAACTTAATGTTGAATCAAATTTGACCATTTTATCATAGATCATTGCAAGTGATAATTCAACTTGTAAATCTTTTCATGAGAAATTTAAAATCAATGCGGTAAATTGGCACTTGACTATCAGGAAATATCAAGTTGTTTACTTTTTTTTCTGTAACATTTGTAGTTAATGGATGTGGATTTCACGATACATTCTTTCGTATGTTGTAGATACATATCTTGCACAGCCTTTTCAACGACTTCTGCATTAACAGATTGGAGTAGTGTATTTTTTTCTGTTATATATACATCTGTCCCTACTATTGTTGTTGGCATTCTTGACAATGACTTGAGTCATAAAACACTCCTAAGTGACATGATGCGTATAATCTGCAACTCTTTTGGATCACAATGATTTACACACTATGGCAGAGCCTTTTTCTATTCTATATACCTTTTTTCACATATAAGGAGAGCTCAATTGATATATGGAGCATGGGCAGTTTGTGGACTATAGCAGTTGTTATTCTTGTTAATATACACTTGGCGATGGACATTCAGCGTTGGGTATTCATTACTCATGCTGCAGTGTGGGGATCAATAATTATCACATGTGCTTGTATGGTGGTATTGGATTCTATACCTATCTTCCCAGATTACTGGTTAGTTTCACCTCATAATATAATTTCCTGATCTTCAGTTCCAAAGTTTTAGTGTGTTGATTTTATGTTTTTCTTATATTTTTTACATTTGGCAGGGCAATCTACCATGTGGCAAAGTCACCCACCTATTGGCTCACCATTTTGCTTATAATAATTGTGGATTTACTTCCTCGCTTTCTTCTCAAAGTTATACATCAGAATTTTTGGCCTTCAGATATTCAAATATCCAGAGAAGCAGAGATTCTTAGAAAAGTGACTCCTAATTTTAGGGACAGATGAAGATTCCAATTAACATGTACATTACACCCTGTTTTGAAATGGTTACTCATGTCTATCCATCATATGGCTGTCCTGTGGCATGCAATTGTAATTTATGGTAAGCACATACTCCAATCTTCTTTTGTTACAAATTTCATACACGTGTTACCAATGAAATTAATCAGCATTAATAGTTATTTTTATGCTTCCTCTGTGAATGCTTCCCTCCAATTCACAACTTTAACAATTAAATGGACAAAATTTGATGATACCCTTACTCATATCATAAAGTCTAAGTTGTGAGTTTTACATTATGTTAAGATCTTGAAGAATTTTACATAAAGAAGGTTCAAGGTAATATTTCTTAGCTAATTTCGATGTTTCAAATATATACTATAGCTACATGTCAATACCATTTCAATCAAAATTTCAGGCAAGTGGTATTGTTGTACTCTTTCAATGTTTTGCACATATTAACGACATATACTATCATTTGCTTGCCATTTTGGAACGCTGTTTGCATTCAAGTATAACTTAATATGTTGCAGTCATTGTGACCATTGTGGTGCTTGTAGTTTTTGGGTAAATAAATTACACTTATTACTTGGTAGAGTTATAATTCCTTACTCAAGAGAGAGGGTTAACAATTTTGGACAGAGTGGGCTACCATTGACCAAGTCTGGCATGTTGTTTCTAATACTATTAATATGATGCATAATATCATATGTTGCCTTCCACCCCAATTTTCGTACTAGTGTACAACAATTGTGAGCTGTGTGAATATATTGATACAGCATACTAATACCGATACTATATGTAATATTGTTGATGTTATATAATTCTATGGTTCCGCAGATGATGAGTTGCAAAAAGCTGAATTTGCAGCAGGCTTGTGAAACATTAATGAAAAAGCACGGCAGAATATTTTTATGTAAAGGGAAAGAGAGGGAGGGTTGGTCAAAGTGAACGCAGAGTGGCCTGTTGCTGTATACTTCATGTTTTTTTAAGAAGGAAAACCAAATGGTGGAAAGTTTGCTTCCCCAACAAATAGGTGAAATGAATGCTCAGTTTTCCGAGTAAAGAGAATTCAATCGAGAATGTTTGTTGGGGTGTTAGCAGTCAGCAGTAGAATGAGGCTGGTAATGTATACTTATATATTAAAATAGCTTGTGTAGCAACTCATTGTTAGCCTTTCACCCTTCTGTTATATATATATATATTGTTAATACCAGTGGATTTGAAATGCAACCATAGTTCCAGCCATCGTTAGAAGGTATCCTTTTCGAACCCTAAGCTAAAGATTAATGTTGCATTTTGCAGAAAGGAAAGCCTCTCGGGGTCTAAATTTTTTCGTTAAACCTGTCAAATATTGAACTACGTTCCAGTATAATGTTAATTTTATCTGTTAATGCTTTAGTCACGCGAAAGCCAGGTTATTGGAGAAGATTTTTCGGAGAAATGATTGGCACTTGAAAGAAAGGTCGGCTTAAATCGGTGTATTATACATCAAGCTTGTTTGTGAAGTGATCAACTGTAAGGAGTCCGGCTTCTTTCAGGAGAATTTTGTAGTGAGATTGATGGCAGTCAAAGAAGGTAGGCTTACACCCGTCTACTAGTTTGTTGTGTATTATGTACATGCATAGAGAAATTCCAAGTTAATTTATGGACTGTTTCTTCTTTGAAATTCCATTCATTCTTGTTTATGGTCACAGAATATACATTCATTTGTGATTTTTATGCAGCTTTCGTACTCTGACAGTGAGTTAAATTGTTGGTATTTTTTTCCCTTCATATATTTGGATTATAGAATATTCTTAATACAAATTACATGAGGTACAAAAATTTAGATTAAAAAAATATTTTAAATACGATTATTGTGTCATAAATATAATACAAATAATTAAACAAATCGATGAGTCTAATATTTAGCGATCACAAAAGGCATTCAAATTGCGTGACATTGATATTTGGGTTTAGTAATATGAGTCGTCCCATAATGCGAGTCTAACAGAAGATGGTTGATAATATTAATGATTAAAATTTTATTTTTAAAATTTGATGAGGAACAAATTCAAAAAATATTAAAAAAATCTGTTTTAGGTGATCTTAAATAAAACATGAGAAAAGCATAGGAAAGAAAAGACCAACTTAGAGGGAGTGGGGCAACGTGGAATTGGAAGCCCAAAAGTAATGGGGTGAGTAAAAGATACCCTAAACCCTAAAAAATAAGTCCGAGACTAAAAAGCCGCCCACCTACCCTAATATCTTCCAACAGCCAGGTGGTGAACCTGGAGCCCAAGCCGACCGTCCCACAGCACAACATAGGCCTACGGCCCTGTACATGGGTTATTGTAGGCTATGTATATGGGTTTGTACTTCTGTTTTAAATACCATTTTGTACTTCTGTAGATGTGGGATATTGCTCTACCCCTTTGCTCTTCTCCGCCTGATTCAAAGAATGTAATAGCTGTCTTTTAAAAATCATACCTTTGTTTGCTCTTTGATTTGTCCTTGCTGATAGGGATGGCAACGGGCCAGGTATTGGTCCCCCGTCCCCGTCCCCGTTTAAAAAATCGGTACTCGTCCCCGTTTAAAAAATCGCGGGGATTTAAACGGGGATCCCCGTCGGGTAATCAGGGAAAACCGCGGGGAAACGGGTATCCCCGTTTAGCATAAACGGTTATTTAAACGGGTATTGGGTCGGTTATTGGGCCGAGAATCGGGCCGGTATATATATATATATATATTTAAATTAAATATATAAGTATATATTTTTTATTTAAATTAAATTTATTAATATTATATATATATATATATATAATTATTTTTAATATTTATCGGGTCGGGTATCGGGGCGGGTAATCGGGTAATCGGGGCGGGGATTACCAAACCCGTCTCCGTCCCCGTCCCCGTTTAAAATAAATGGGTTTTCCCCGTCCCCATCGCCGTTTATCATCCCCGAAACCCGACCCGTTTAATTCAGTTTTCGGTTTTCCCCGTCGGGTTCGAGTTTTTTTGCCATTCCTACTTGCTGAACATAAAAAAGCACTTCATTTCCTCTAACTTGCCAAAACAAAAACTCTTCAGGTTATACACCCGAAATTGTTGCTTCAAAAGGAGGAGAATAGAGTCGGATAAGGAACAAGGGAAAGAAAAATACCCAGAAAAGTCCAGGTTCCAAACAATGAAAAAATGAAGAAAAGAAGAACAGGTGGTTTGAAACAAAAGCGAAAGCCAGCTAAAAAGTAAAACCCAGACAACATTGCATGCATTCAACGATTGAAATCAAGACAATATGGCCACAATATTTTATACGAATGTGTACTTTATTTTTTATCTTTCTTTTTATTATAAGTGGAAGAAAACGTAAGACTAAGTTACATAGAAATTTTTAGGGAAAGAGACTCTTCTAAGATCAGCATCCAAAAATGATAGAACTCCATTCGATAGAGACTCAAAAACAGCTAGCTCCTCGTCCAGAGAATAAGCCCATTTTTGATAATATATCAGCACAGAAAAAATGATTACACCTTGGGCACAAGAGAAAAATAAAATGTTTGTTTATTTAAATTTATCGTGAAGATGTTTACACTCATAAAAAAGTATGTTTTTTATATTTATAAATATTCGAATATTTTTTATTCTTTTTAAGTGGATTGGTAATTTTTAATTAATTAATTTTGTTTGTTTAATTTTTTTTATAATATCATGTTCATTCACGCATGCTCTTAAAATATATATTAATGAATACTTTTTTAATATAGAATAGTGGAATTTTTATTTTTAAATGGAAAAAGAACTGGTTGCTTTAACTCATAAGATGCATTTTCTTCTGGGTGGGAAATGGCTAAATATTCTGAATTTCATTATTGAATTCAAGAATGAAAAAATTGGAATTTGTGCGGTTATTTATAAAAGGATCCTTAAACCCTAAACCATAAATATTGAACCCCAAATCTCAAACCCCAGACCCTAGCTCTTGAATCCAAACCAGAACCATAGATCTTAAACCCTAACCTTAAACACTAGATTTAATATTTAATTATTATTTTTAATTTATTAAAGTATTATTTATGATTTATTAATATTTAAAAATTTATTTATTTTATTATTTTTTTAAAAACATTTAAGTTAAATAAAATTTAATGGTTTAACATTTTTTATAGTTTATTATGGTTTTATTTATAAATTATTATGTTTTAATAATTTAATAATTTATTATATTTTACAATTGTTTACCCAAACCCCGAACCCAAGTACCGAGCCTACTAACCTTCAGGCCAATACATTTAAAATTATATTTATAATATCTCCCATACAAGTTAAAACCATAGCCCAATTAACCATAAGCCCTAAACCCCCGAAATTCAACCACCTAATATAATTTAATTTACAATAAAACCATACAAGTTAAAACCCAAACCTAATTAACCATCAACCGTATACATATCAATAAAACCCATAACCATTACAATTAAAAAGCTCAAACCAACAGAAACCCACGAGGTAGATCCATCCATCACCCTCCAGAGCCTTCCAATTCTTTCCACTTTGCTTACTTTTGGTGCTTTGGGAAGGTAAGAACATTTATGGTGGGCTCCTTGCATTAATGGTGTTATAAGTTTCTAGAAATGTCATGTTGGTAATCTTGGTTAACAAACACAAATTAATTGGAGGCATTGATAAATATAGGATCCAAGGGCAGAAAAAGTTCCACTTCAGCAGCCGAGAATACCCAACGTCACTAACCTGTATTCTGCGCGTGACTGTCGCTTAATCATTGGTATCGGCGCATGACTGCACAGTGCCACCTTCCTTTCGGTCGTCGTTCAAACATGAAAAATTCACCAAAAATATAGAAAATTAGAATGATGCTAAGGAATGTTCTAGCAAGTGAAGCCATAACCGTTTCTCAACAAATTTCAAGCGGGAAAGTTAGTTTTAGCACCAAACAAAGCCATTTGAATTTGTGTATAACCAATAGCTAATAATTAGAATAATGAAGATTAGCAAAGTATTTATTACACTCAAGAAAAGGAGAAAAAAAGTGAAAAGTAAGGTGTCTTTATTAGATAAATTACACGGACGATCATTAAACTATAGTTAAAAATTATTTTGATTATCAATGTTTTAATTTGATCAAAGAGTCCATCTAACTTTTTAAATGGTTCAATCAAGCTATTCTCTGTTAATTTTTAACAATGATGGTGAGGAGTCCATTAATAAAAATGACATAATTACATATTTGTTCCTCAATACTTAAGCACTCTATAAATTTGGTCCTAAATTTAATTTAATTTAAAAATAAATAATCCTCCAATTTTAGTGTTCTTAAAGAATATGTATAGTTTAAATTTAAAAATTGCTATGGTCAACAACTTATTTTATGTTTTCTAGTTAGATTTAGATGCCATAATAATATAACACCTCCATATTAGAAGATTAATTATTTTAAATTAAATTTAGGATCAAATTTATAAAATGCATAAAATATTGAGAACCAAATTTGTAATTATAGCATTTTTATTTATGGACATGTCACCATCTCTGTTAAAATTAATGAAGAGTGGCTTGATTGAATCATTTAAAAAGTTAGGTAGACTTTTTTTTATCAAATTTAAAGATCGGTGGTCAAAATCATTTAGTGATCACCTATGTAGTTTACCCTTTTTTATTTCCAGCTATCTCCCAAAAAAAAATCCATAGAGAAGAAGTCCAACGCTTAAACTTATACGACTATTATGGCTGTTGCATAATCAAAAATGATAAAGACGATTTATATCAGAAACAAGCTACTCAAAATGAAAACTTTCTTCAATATATTATTGTTACCTTTGCTAATATTTCTCTTCAAACTTTTCAGAATGATGTCTCAACGCAAATGAAGTCTTTAGAGAATTCTAAATCAAAATAAATTATGTTCAAAATTATGCTTCTCTTTTATCATAGACAATTTACTATTTAATACTGAAACAAATGCTAAAAAATATGGGAAGTACCAAA